TATATATATATATATATATATATATATATATATATATATATATATATATATATATGGAGAATGAAACAAAAAAGTTAAGAATTAAGATACATATTTGCAAAAAATTTAGGGGGGCTAAAAGTAATATTCAAAAAATACAGTGTCAAAATACCTAAAAAAAAAAAAAATTAATTTAATCTTGGGGGGTCAACAGCCCCCCCAGCCCCTTCTATCTTCCGCCCATGATCATAGGATGTGTTATTTGACTTGTATATATCAAATTGTGGTGCATCAGAAACTGTATATTTATACAAAACGAGTAAAAACTAGAGCACATTCTACGGAATCTAGATAATTATGTGGAATTTGACACCATAAGAGTGGAAGTGTAAGAAGATTCATAGTTGAGGGGTAAATGTAATTATCCAAACAAGTGGAGAATTTTCTTAATTTGACCATATCTCATGGGTGATTGTAAATTACCCTAATATTTAATTAGCATACGGCTCGTTGAGATTAGAACGTGATTTTCACGGCGACGTTAGATTTGTACGTCAGCTGTTAACGGCAGCATTTCTCAGACAAAAGTCTTTAAATAATTGTTAATTGTCCTTGTACGTTGGTTTGCGACTTTCCCTAGTTGATTATCTCTGATTTTTTTTTAATTATTTTTAAAAGCTTAATTTTCTGACCATAATCATAAAAATATATTAATCATCGGTTTCTCCGTATATAGTTACAGACTTGGAGTTTTGTGCTTGCAATTATGTTTGAACAAGAAAATTGTGATGTTTTTCGTAATTTTTTAAAATTTAATTTTGATCCGACAAAGAATATTATTTATAAAATCGGACCGATGATAAAATTAGATAGCCAACTAGCTCGTATTGGGGCCGGTTCAACTCAATCACTTATAATATAATATAAAGTTTTCAGAAGGTTCAGTGACGAGTCAAACATAGGATAGGGCCATCGTCCCCTAACATTTCCCAAATTAATATAAATATAGAATTTTTTTGCGTATAAAAGCATCAACGGTCCTCCATAAAAAAATTAATACGTCTGCCCTCCATATTTAAAATTTTGGCTCCATTAATGGGAGACACATGAAAAAGATATATGATATATCAATAGTTTATTAATTTATTTGTGTTTTTTGATTAATGTAATTTGTATTTATACGTCGAGAAAATATTTTAAACTTCAACAGTAATTGACATCGTTAGCGAGATAATTGAATCATGTAGGAGACTTTATTCAATTTTTTTCCCTCCAAGTTTAAATGTTTTTTAACAATAGAATACCATAGTATAGGCAGTGAAAACTTTCAATAACAAAAGATTAAATATTTTTAAATCCAAAGACTTATTTTAATACTATTTGCACATTAAATAATACTTTGTGATTACAGACAGTAATTACAATAATGTTGAATTGAAACTATGAATACCATAGTCAATCAGTTCACACTTCTAATCTTTAATGACTTTCAGTCTACACATTTATTCTATTACTTTTGCTTTACTTTTAACATTGTCAATTAAAAGTTTCATTTATTAGTAAGAGCAATATTAAAAGAATGTGATAAACGCTGTTTCAGTTTTAATAATATCGTTTTGATTTGGAATATGATTTTGACATTTTTTAGTGTGAATTTGGCGAAATACGAAACATAGAATTTGTAGTAATTTGAGTTAATTTTCTAATCTAATTTTAATCACCCGACATCGAATCTAGTATTTTTAAGTTGATTAGAAAGTTAAATAAAAGAACTGGAGTTTCCTTGTTTTGATTTTTTTTACCAAAATCGATCTAAAAAGGATCAAAATCACGTTCGAAGTTTAAATTTTTACTAGTAAAATTGAAACAATATTTAACATGTCACATATTAAAAACACCAATTTATTATTCCAAACTAACTCGGTTTGATGTCGAATTTGTCGCACGAGTGCGATTTTTCTATAGAAATTAAAGCAACTCAAAACACTTTTTCCCGAATTTTCACCTATTCCCACCGATTCTCCACTGGATTCCCAATCCCACGTCATGAAGAAATACTTCAAATATTCCTTAAAACATTATTAAAATAATGTCGTTTCAATTTTAGTAAGAAAGACTATCTCACTATGAACTATATTAGGTACAAATGAAATTAAATATAATATTTTAAATCGTTTTTTGAGATAATAATTGTTAAAGATAAATCATAAAATTAGTTGTGTATGAGCACATGTCACGTGGCACACAAATCAACTGGTAGTTGACTCATTTTTGTTCAACAGTTTTTTTGCTTTTATATTTTCCAAAGAAAAGAAAACAGACACATCTCATGACCAAGCTTTTGGCTGCTTTCTTACAACTCCATTATTAATACTCAAATCATTGGATCTTTTTATTATATAAAAACAAAAATCATTGACGTTATTTAATTAATTATAATTTATAAAAAATAAAAAAAATAAAAAAATCTTACTAACTAACCTCGCCCTTTGCCCTTGAATATATTACAATATATATTTGGGTAAATTACACCTACACCCCTAAGGTATGCTAAAATAATTTTAAAGTCCTTATAGTATCAGTATTTACTATAACCCCCCTGAAATATTGTTAGAAACCCTAACAGAATAGTGCATTGGATAAATTATTTCGTTAGGGTTCTAACGGACTATTAGTTTCAGGAAGTGGTGTATACAACAACATAGAGTTAGATGGTGACAAGCCTTCTCCAACATTTCTTAAATACTTATTATTTTATATAAGATTTATAAATTTGCCGTCTATGGTAGCATTAAAGGCCCCGCAGAAACAAATTCAGTGCATATCGGTCCGTGGGACATAAATTTTTGGCTCCGGTAATTACTTCAGGGGTGTGTCTGTAATTACTAATATCACAAGGACCTTAAAGTTATTTTATCATATCTCAGGGATGCCGGTGTAATTTACCATATATGTTTTATATATATACATGTGGATAAAGAAACAAAAAAAAAAAAGGAATTTCACTGGTTTCAATTAATTTGAAACAACTTTTTTCAATCTAATTTTCGAAAAAAGAAATCCGAGAAATTATATTTTGTCACTTCTATAACAATTTAAAATTCATTTATTTATAATAAAAATACTATTTTCAGTTATATCCGTCCATTTGTATGGATTTATCATATAATAAACATTAATTCTTTTCAATAAGTAGTTCTGTACTTGAGCTTCTGCACCATTAACGAAATGAATAATCAGAAGCACCAGCTTCTGCTTCTACTTATAAAAGCACTTTTCCTCATCAATTTCAGCCCCCTGACATATTCCACCACCAGAGACGCCGCAATCTTAATCCGGGTCAAAAACAACCACCTCCGCGACCCGCTCCGGAAACTCGACGATTGGCTCGAATCGGGTCGCCACGCGCCGTGCAACTGGACCGGCATCACCTGCGACCCCGTTGATAACGCCGTCGTTTCAATCGACCTCTCCGGCGCTGATGTCTCCGGCAACTTCCCGGCGGACTTCTGCCGGATTTCTTCCCTCCGAAACCTCGACCTCTCCTTCAACAGCCTCGGCGGCGGCATTTCTTCCGATTCGATTACTCTCTGCTCTCACCTCGCTTCTCTCAACCTCTCGTCGAATTATTTCGTCGGCGATTTGCCGGAGTTTGCAGTGCAGTTCTTCAATTTGACGGTGTTGGATTTCTCCTTCAATAATTTCTCCGGTGAAGTACCGTCCAGTTTTGTCAATTTGCCGGAGCTCCAGATCCTGTCTCTCGGGTCGAATCTGCTGAACGGGTCGATTCCTGAGTTCCTACCCAATCTGACCGAGTTGACTCAGCTGGTGCTGGCTGTAAATCCTTTCTTCCCCAGTCCGCTTCCGGCGAGCATCGGCCGCCTGAAAAAACTAGAGAACCTCGTCGCGTCGTACGCCAATATCATCGGAGTAATCCCCGAATCCATCGGCGATCTCGTCTCCATCAAAAACCTCGACCTGTCGAAGAACAATCTCGCCGGAAAAATCCCGGACACCATCGGCAGGATGAAAAACGTCGAACAAATTGAACTGTTCGGAAACCAACTCACCGGCGATTTGCCGGATGCGTTTTCCGATCTCACTTCTCTACTCCGTTTCGATGCTTCGGAGAACAATCTCACCGGAAAAATACCTCAGAGTCTCGCCGCTCTGCCGTTAGAATCCCTACATCTCAACGACAATTTCTTAGTAGGGGAAATACCAGAAGCTATAGCTCTGAGCCCTAATCTAATTCAGCTGCGGTTGTTCAATAACAAACTCGCCGGCGCTTTGCCGGAGTTTTTGGGTATGAATTCAGATTTGGAAGAAATTGATGTTTCCAACAACAAATTACAAGGACCATTGCCTAGAAATTTGTGCTACAGAAAGATGCTCCAATCTCTGATACTCTTCGGTAACGGAATTTCAGGTACAATACCGGAATCGTACGGCGAATGCAGCACTATAAGTTACCTGAGAATTCAAGAAAACGAATTAACCGGAGTAGTACCCGATGGGTTATGGGGGTTTAACGGTCTCGAATACATCGAATTTACAAACAATAGATTGGAAGGATCGATTCCGCCATCCGTTTCAAACGCGAAAAACCTCGAACAGTTATTAATTTCCGGCAACAATTTCTCCGGCAAGCTGCCGACTGAGATCTGCGATTTGCAAGAGCTGAGGAAAATCGACTCCAGCCGGAACCAATTCTCCGGCGAGCTGCCGCCTTGTATTACTAAACTGACAAAACTACAGGAGCTTCACATTCAAAGAAACAAGTTGACGGGCGAGATTCCGGCGAGTGTATCATCTTGGAGAGAGTTAACACAACTGGATTTATCCGACAACCAATTCTCCGGCGACATTCCACCGGAGTTTGGAGATTTGCCGGTGCTGACATCATTGAATCTCTCAAACAATCTACTCTCTGGCAAAATACCGGTCGAGTTGACTAAACTCAAACTCAACGAGTTCGATATCTCCAACAATAAGCTCCAAGGCAAAGTTCCACTTGGTTTCGATACCAAGTTTTTTCTGTCAAGTCTGACGGGCAACCCGGGTTTGTGCAGCCCGGATCTTCGACCCATTCCCCCTTGCTCTAAACCCAAACCCGTTAGCTTGCTATTGGTTCTAGTTCTATCTATTCTTGCATCAATACTCGTGGTCTCGTTTCTATGGCTCTCGGTCAAAACCAAATTCGTTCTCTTCGGTAGTAAAACCCGAAAGCCTTGGAAAATCACCGCCTTCCAAAGAGTCGGGTTCGACGAAGAACAAGTGTTAGCCTCGTTGACGGACGAGAATCTCGTAGGGTCGGGCGGGTCAGGTCGGGTTTACAGGGTAGGTTTGAAGAGCGGGCTTACTGTAGCAGCAAAGAGGCTCTACTACGAGCCTAAAGCGTTGGCGGAATCCGAGGCGGTTTTTAGGTCGGAGGTTGAAATATTGGCAAGAATTAGACACGTCAACATCGTAAGATTGTTGTTTAGTTGCACTACGGATGATTTTAAGGTTTTGGTCTACAATTACATGGAGAACGGGAGTTTGGGGGATGTTTTGTACGGAGAGAAAGGGGGCGAATTCTTGGATTGGCCGAAAAGATTTGCGGTTGCAATTGGTGCGGCACAAGGGCTCGCGTATATGCACCATGATTGTGTGCCAGCAATTGTTCATAGAGATGTTAAGTGTAATAACATATTGCTTGACGAGGATTTTAGGCCTAAAGTGGCGGATTTTGGATTGGCAAAGATATTGAAGAAACGGGATTCGAACGACGGTGATGATCAAGTTATGTCTCGCGTAGCTGGTTCTTACGGCTATATTGCACCCGGTGAGAATGCTTATATTCTTTTAACTATTAATGAATCTTTTAATTACTTATGTGATCAATTTGATTCATTTGCTATTCAAATCATGTCTTGTTTCGAAATGTTGATTTAATTTACTTAATGATGAACTTGAAAGCTAAACCTATAAGTGGGAATTGGAACGAATTTTTGAATTCCGCCTATTTCAATCAGATTATTTTCGATTTGGAACAACTTTTTTCATTATAAATTCTGAAAGTTCCGATTTAGGAGTTTTCTTTTGGAACGAAATCGGAATAGATAAGAGATTCCGATTTCCCATCCAAATTTTAATTTCCGAAAATCCCAATTAAATTTCACTACACTACATTTATAATATCGATATGGTTGTGTATTTTATATTATAGGTGACCTGGAAATTGGAATCCCGAATTCCGCCTATTCAAATTCTGAAATTTTCCATTTTGTAGGTTGTACCATGTTGTTCTCATTCCAATTATCGAAATATTCCGAATTCCAATTTTTTGTTTAATGGAATTAGAACTATTTTTTTTCCTTACCAAGAAAATTGGAAATTTTCCAAAAGTGTCGATTCCAATCCGATCGGTCCGATTTCCAACCCCAATCTAAACCCCAAACATTTGAAAAACTTGATTATACTTGTCTATCAAGATCAAAGTTCCCAAACAAGGCCTTAATATTTCACTCTGCTTTGACATATCTGCAGAATATGCATACACGGCGAAAGTAACGGAGAAGAGCGATGTGTACAGCTTCGGTGTGGTGCTGTTGGAACTAATCACGGGCAAAAGGCCCACCGACTCCTCGTTCGGCGAGAACAAGAACATAGTCAAGTGGGTGACTGAGATTGCGCTATCCTCACCCGAGCGAGGATGCAGTGACGCAACCAGCAGCGTCGATTTCGCCGGCTTGGATCGGATATTGGACGGTCGGATGAACTTATCCACGGTCAACTACGATGAGGTGGAGAAGGTTCTGAACGTGGCTCTCTCGTGCACCGCTGAACTGCCTATGAGTAGGCCATCCATGAGAAGGGTTGTTGAATTGCTCAAGGACCGTTCGCAAACTCGTTTCAAGTAATTTAAGTTAGAGAATGCAGTATAGGGGGGCCAAGGCCCCCCGCCATTTCCCGATTAGTGTAGCATTGTCGACCTCTAGAGCATTTTTAGTGTATATTTGGCCCCCCCACGAAGGTCAAAGAGTTGGATACATATGACAAGGCTTTTGAGGGTTGTTGTTTGCAATTCAGCAAAGCAATTTTTGACTGCTGAAAACTGACTTATGTTGTGTGGCGTGTGAATGTTATGGTGTTTTTGGAGGAGGTAAATTTAATGTAGGGGGGCTTTCGAATTTATTTCGACTAAGGGGTAGCAAAAAAAAAAAAATTGTTATTGGTATAATTGTTTCTATAAAATAATATAATGTCATTTAAAACATTTATAAATCACAAATTAAAACAAAATTGAATATGAAGTTTAGATATGATGGATACATTACCGATCTACGTATCATGGACACAAACACGGTGATATGGGAAAACGGACACGGAAAATGGCATATCTCAAAAATGGGATACAGGAGCTTGGGAGAGACGTGTAAATATTAAAACTATAAGGGTTTAGTTATAAATATGTTGTGTAAGCATATATACGTTTTTATTTATATATAATTCTTTTTATATATTTCCATACAAACATTTCAAAATAAATTTTATGGGAAAATTATCGTCTTCATCCCTCAAGTTTGCACCAATTTCACAGTTGGTCCCCCATGTTCACAAAAAACACATTTAGTCCCTCATGTTTCAATAATGTAACATTTTAGATCATTTCCGTCATTTTACCGTTAGTCCGTTAGTTAAGGCGGTGATAGGCACATGCTTGATTCCGTCAGTATTGACGTAAAATTGACGAAAATGACTAAAAATGTTGACTTTTTGAAACATGAGGGACCAATTGTATTTTTTATGAACTTGAGGGACCAAATATGAAATCCGTGCAAATTGTGAGGGATGAAAACTACATCTCTCCCAAATTTTACTATCAACTATCAATTTGCAATTCATCATTAAATTATATAAATAATTAGGAAAACAACAAAAATATTCGAAAATTTGTTATTCAAACATGTTTTTAACCTTTCAGAAATTGCAAAATGGCTCATAAGGTGTCGGCAGGTGTCCTCGAGTGTCTGACTCGAAACTTATCTGAAACACGAAAAAGTTAAGAAATTGAAGGTTCTGTGCTACGTAGGTACATATATAAACATGAAAATGAAGATAATTTTGTAAGAATAAAATATAAATATTTAATTAAACAATACAAAAGGGGAAATGTAAATGAGAACCAAATATAAAACATTATAGTTTCATGTCCTACGAACAATTTAAATTTATTTAATATCAAATCAATTGATAATTCCATCAGATAATGATTTTTTTTTATTATTTAATTATGAAAATCTCAATATAATAATTCATTTTATTAGTTCTACCAAATCAACAAAAAATCCTATTATATTGGCATTTTGACACTGCCCTCTGCTAATAAAACACGACTTTACAACCTACAACTTGCAATAAAGCGTGTTTTGCATTTTCTCCAAAATAGATATATAAATAAAATATCAAACACCAACAAAATTCTCAATTCAAGGAACGCAGTTGAATCTACAAACAGAGAAAACATTACTCGCATAGAAAGGGAAGAATGGCGTCGGCGATTATGAGATCTGGCCTCCGTTCCGCCCTCCGCGGCGGCGCTTATGCTCCACGCGTTTCATCAGCTTCTAACCGCTCCTTCTCCTCTTCAGCATCTCAACTCGATGAAGCTGGTATTTGTTTTATTGATTTATATTTAATCGAATCAGAAATTGATGTTTAGATTCGAATTGAATCGTGTGGAGAGAAATTATAAGATCTGATGATTGATTATTTTTGTTCGGCGTGCTTTTTTGGGGTTGTCAATTGTTCGTGTATGCAATTTAGGGTTTCAATTACATTTTCTGTTATATTTTAGCTTACGTAGGATTAAATGATTCGGTTCAAAATATGTGATGATGTGATGGAAAATGCTGATTTTTTTATTTTTTTTTGTTGGGCATTATTTTTTGGGCTGTCAATTGTTCGTGTATGCAATCTAGGGTTTCAATTACATTTCCTGTTATATTTTAGCTTACATAGGATTAAAGGATTCGGTTCCAAATATGTGATGATGTGATTGAAAGTGCTGAATTTTTTTAAATTTTTAATTTTTTTAATTTTTTTTTTGTTGGACTGTGGTTTATGTAGCCGAGGCTTCAAAGTGGGAGAAGATAACATATGTAGGAATAGCAGCATGCACGTGTCTTGCTGCCTTTATCCTTTCCAAGGGTCATCCGCACCACGACGAACCTCCTGTAAGAATCATCCACAATCGCTCATATTATCCTGATTTTGTTTCTTTTTTTTTTTTTTAAATTTGGGGTTTGCAGTTGTTAGATTGACCTAGAATTTCGTTTGCCCATGTTTTGGTGCTAGCTTACTATATATGTTGTTTCAAATTGAAATTGCACAATTTTTGATCTTTGTTGAATAAAAAGTCGGTGATTCTGATCTACTCATTGGTTTTGTGGTGCAGGCATACCCTTTCTTGCACATTCGAAACAAGGAGTTTCCATGGGGTAAGTTTCTTATGATCTTTCGTGGGTTTTTTTTCTTGTTTCGAAATATGTGATGATGTGCTTGTTTCAAATTATTTGATGTTGCACGGATTTGTAAGACCTTCTATGTGGTTATTTATCGTATTTGTATAATTGAATGTGTGTATGATGATTGACCTTTATTCTACTTGTGTGATGATTATTGGTTATGATTTGTTGGGGATTACTTTTTGCTGGTCATGTTGGATTCTGATAAATCTCGATCTAAATATTTCAAGATCCGAATTTTTCATAACATGGACCAAATAATATGGTGGTGATTGGTGATTTTGAGCTCAACAGATAGGAGACTCATAAGCATTTGAATTGATTTAACTAACTTTTGCATGAAATTTAGTTCATACAGAATAAATGGGTTAATACACGAGTTGGCATCAATTGTTGGGTATAGCAATAACTATGTATAGTGAAAATTCAGGTAATTGATTTCGGGAACTTAAATTTGTAGTTTCTTGAGGTTGATTCTTTAGCTTCTTGATTGCTTCTCTTAAAATTGCAATATATTATTAAGCATCTCAATTTAGAAAGCCCTAATAAATATTCTTGCGTTATCTTCGCATTTTCATAATCCGACAAATAATAATTTGGCACCTGAGAGGGCAGCTTAGTGTTTCTATCTTATTGAGTGTTCTCTTGAATTTTATTTGTTTCTTAGCCGAATATTTATCATGAGCTTTTATGTTATCTTCTTGCAAACCCAAGTGGTTAAGAATAATGTAATTGTGTACGCAAGAAAGTTGAAACTGATCTACTAGAAAGAATCGGTTGTAATTGTTGTTCCGAGTTTTCATTTTCTTGGCTAACAAGTTTTTGTTTTACACTATTGTTTCTTTCGGTTCTCGTTTACTAACCTTCGTTTTTATGGGTGCAGGTCCAGATGGTCTGTTTGAGGTAAAGCATCACTAATCGGTTTCTGGGATGTCTCGAAGATTAATAAGTCGTGTGGTTCATTTCTGAAATGTATTTAAACTCGTGGTCTCCAATATTGACTTGGAAACTCGAAATTCCATTCAGCATGTTATGTTGACAGTCTTTGAAACCATGATCTCATTGTTTTTGGAAAAATATGCACATTGTGGATGCTTTTCATCTTTCATCTTTCATCTTTTTTTGGACTTCTTTCATTTGTGCTTCTACAAAATAAAGTTGATTAGATTGGAGGGCTTTTTGGTCCATCTTGTGGAATTATTTCATTCTCGTCCAATTTGTGTCGTGATCATCTTTCTATCATTCGTTTCATTTATCCTCGAAATGTTCTTCACTTCAATTCCTTTATTTCTCAGGTTGACACGAGATGATTGTTTGACCATGACTTACATCTTTAATATACATACAATTGGTTGTTTCAGTTATACTTGAGTTCTGTGAAACTCAGGGCGAAAATTGGAAAGTTACGCCGATACACGAATTCAACTTTCAAGAGAGAAAAATCAACATGTTTTTGAAATTTCATATTAATTTTTAGTTTTTCAAAAACAATTAACATGTTTACCATAGAATATTAATTATGAATATACTTCCAACATGAGTGGTTGATTCCAAGGAACTTGTCTCTGGTTTTATGGTACAATTTTGTCTTGGATTGAAAGGAATATTATTAGGTAAATTTCACCGGAATATTTATTTTTGAGATTGAAAAAAGTAATTAAAAATCAGAATCCAAAGAGACTCAGCTTTTCATTTTGTCTTTCTTCATCGATGCTTTAAAACATTCTCTTCTCTTTGGATTTGAATAATTTATTGAGAAACAAATAAATGGGTTCGAATTTAGGACAACTGAAACTGCTTCAACACGTGAGTTCTTTTACATTTCCGAGCATGGGTAAAAAAAAATTGTTACAGTTTCAAAAAAGTACAAGATGTTCTTCCATTGTCTTAATTCATCCTTACATTAGTTGTACTTCAATTAATTTGGGCTTCTTTTCACAATTTGGAGCTCTAGTTAGGTGGAGGCCCAATGGAACACATCAAATAGGAATATTCTAGTTAGTGATTCCTAACACGTTTTTACTAGTTAATTACTGATCAACATTAGTTGGTAGTTACCCTTAATGATTATATAAATATATAATGCTTCGTTTGATTTATTTTGTGCAGAGATGAATAGTCATTGTGAAGGCGCATCCACAGTACAACCACCTCTTTTCGATGTATTGAAATACTTTTATTGAAAAATAAGAATGATTATGTTCATCAAATCTGTTAATAAAAAGGTCTAGCGTGTTGTTTTAGCTGGTTGGACTCCTACTGCCATAAATAATAAGTGGAGTGATACAGAAGTACGAATAGAAAATTTTAGTTCTAAAGAACTACTCTGATAACCGAGAGCAAAGAGACTATCATTGAAACTGTCTAACAGTTGGACAAACATTTCAGACAAAAATGACGTATGATAACTTGCCTTTAATACCCAATAACATTTTAACTCCCCTTACCGTTGCAGGTGATGATGAGGATTCAAAAGACGACAATGATGTTGATGAGCCAGCCAACCGTACCTCGGAATGATTAAAGAATTACTATGCAAAGATGTATGGAAAACTGCTTGGGGTATGTGAGTCGAATCCCTTAAAAAAGGAGAAGTTTGCCCTAATTCTGGAAAACAAAGGCTGTGTTTGGTAAGCTTTTGGGCTTCCATTTCCATTTTATTTTGGGGAAAGATGTTTTGGGAGAAGAATTTGAAAATTAAATAAAGTTTGTTTGTGTTTTGGGAGGAGACAATTTGTACTGTAGCAAGTCAAATCATGTCTGAAAGGTGTTGGAAAAAGGTATTTTGGAAGAAGAATTTAAAAGATAAAGTGATTTGATTTTGTATTTTAGTGAAGACAATTTTCACTGTAGCGGTCAAATTTGAAAATCTTAGTGTTGAAAGAATTTGAAAAGCTTAACAAACATAACCAAAGTGTTGAAGATAAGGAGTAATGTTGCCCACAAATTTGATAATCTTAGTTATCTAAAATTCAAAATTTAATTCATTCACGCATAACTTTATCACCCGACATTCAATCTAGTCCATTCAAATTGGATTAGATAGCTGACTCAAAAGACTACAGTTTGCATGTTTTGAATTTTGTGAAAACCAAACCAAACCAAAAAAAGGACCAGAACTGTTCAAATTCAAAATAGTATTAATAAAATTAACGACATTTAATATTTCAGTTTTAATATACATTTATTATACTTTGTTTCATTATTTCCAAGCAATGCCATATATAGAGACGGCAATATTCTCTCTTGATATAGAAGCGAAATCGTCAATGACAAGTCATATCATTTTTTATTTCTTTTTTCATCTGCCAAAATAATAAATTCTACCTTTTTTTTTTTTTTTTTTTTTTTGTGTGTGTGTGGGTGAGTGTAGTAATATTATTTGAATAATAATATATTCCGACTTCCGTCACAACCGTACTAACTATATTAACAAATTGAATTATTTTTGTACAAGAAATGATATAAGAAAATTTATATCTACCCATTAAATAATAAATTTCACTCAACCAGAAAAATTGAATATTGATAATCCCAATCAATCAATCTTTTCATTATTAGATCATTTTAGTATTTTTACCATATTGATAATCCCAATCAATCAATCTTATTCATTTGATTGTGACATTTTGTTTTGCGTAGTGATTAGTTGACATCATTGATGAATGACGTGGATAATAAACCCATCATTTTTTTCACTAATCTGGATAATGATTATCAGGTGGTGACAGAATCTCTTTAGCAGGCAAAACAAAATAATAACTAAAAAAATAAAAATAAAAATCAGACTACTCATTATTATTTATTATTATTATTATTATTATTATTATTATTATTATTATTTTATTATTATTTTATTATTATTATTACAGCCACCTGTGATAAATCAAATTACAAAAAACCCTATTGTTTAAGTGATTACAGTCACCTCTTCTTTTAAATATTTTGACATAAAATTTATGTAATTCGGTTATTTACCAAACCAAATTGTATATTTAGTTCGGTAAAGGGTATGAAATGTTGGCGTACCGAAATTTTGGTTTGGTTTTACTGAATTAACATCTCTAATTTACCTCGGCAGGGATCTTTTCGTGAGATAATACATAGTTGATGGGTGATTGTGATTACCCAGATATGAGGGAGTTTTCGTAATATGATCATATAGCAGGGGTGTGTGGCCGTAATTTACCAAATATTATGATTAAAACTGAACTCAGATTTGTCCATCAATGGCCGCACTTCCCCATGTTTCTTGCAAATCAAGAAAACCATTCTACTTTAAGACCTCTGTTTCTCTGCAAAATCTCTGTTTTCATTTCATACCCCTAGAGAGAGAAAGATGAGAGAGAAAAATGAAAGAGAAAGAGAGATATCTAACAAATTAATAATAAATGTAAATTCTATTTTGCGTGTTGACAGTAAGTAACGCTGTAATTATTATCACGAAATGACATCTCTCTGCCAAGAAAAGATTTAACCTAACCCTAACGGCGCCGTTACGTGAAAAATCGGTACACACACAGAACACACACTTGTGCGTCTGCTTTTTATTATTTTTCTTCTATTTAATGTTGTTCCATATTTGTTGTTGATGAAATTGAATACTTGTACGTACAATATTATAAGTAGATCGCAATTTAATGCGTATTAAATACGTATACCGAATTGTAGTACAAAATCAGAATATCTGTGCTGCAAATATCATACCAAGCTCAGAAAATCAGAGCTTTATATGATTGCCTTTCATGCGTTTGGCGCCAATTTCAAATTGTTGCTTAAGTATATATGTATTCGATTACTTGGCCGGTAAATCGACTGAACTAAATCGAATCGAAAGTTCGGTACGTGCCAAATTCAGTTTGGATTTCGATAAATACTTTTTGGAATTCTGGTATCCGGCTCGGTATACGGTATTGATGTCCGGTATACCGAACTGTACTGAATACCGAGATATTTAATATAAAGAAATTTAAATCTTGAAGGTTATAACAAATTATAAAATTCTTTTAGATTGATAATTTTTTTCAATTATTAACAAATTAGCCTCTATTGATAATCATCTTTTGCTATTAGAACCGATTACTGATATTTGAATATCAAATTCAAGAATAAATTTGTTTAAATATAAATATATATTTTTACATTTTTTAATATTTTAAAATATAATCTCGATTTTACCGGTGCCAAACTGAAGAAATTGAATTGATCATTCGTTAAAATACCGTACCGAACTGAGTAATTCTATACGGTAACTGGTGCAACTTTTTGAAGTACCAAAATTTCAGTTTACGGGAATCTTAGTACGATAAAGTACGGTATTACGGAATAAACACCCCTGGACATATATATGTAGCATAATTCTCTAGCAAAAAGCTAGTTGATTTCTCATTTTGAAAAGCAAGTGAAATTTGTCTATACGTAAAGTAATTTTTAAATATTTTTTTATTTAATAATAACAATGTTTTAGCCTTAGGTTAATATCGTGACAAGAGAATTAATTATTAATTGCCAATTTATAGTATAATAAAAATAATTTAATCTAAAACATATATTAAATGCCAATTTAATGTAAAGTAACAATAATTTGAAAATAAAGACCTTTACATCATGGTTATCGGATCGTAAATATATCTCGTATCGTTTTACTCCACATCTCGTACCGTATCGTTTATCGTATCGTATCGTAAGATATTTAACCAACTATTAAACTGGTAATATATATATATATATATATATATATATATATATATATATATATATATATATATATATATATATATATATATATATATATATATATATATATATATATATATAAAAGAAAAATATTAGAAACATGTAAAATTTAATATTTTGAAGTCAAATACTCATTAAAAAAATAGATCCAAAATTCAAATTCAAGTTTCAACATCAAATTATAAAATATTGACAAAAATCATAATTGTTCATTAAATAACATCATCGAAGTTCAAATTCAAATCCCTAATTTATAAAATAATCCATCACTCGAAATCTTGAAGATCAATGTCACTTAAATCTTCCTCATCAACCAATTTCAAACAATTATCTGCATCTTCATCTTCATCTTCATCTTCATCAATCTCTTCAACTTCATCGACTCTAACTTTGGCCTTTCCCTTTCTTCTCTTATCAATCTCAAACTTGGCATTCAAATTTCTTGGACCTATATATATATAAACATTAAATAATATTGAATGATAGTATATTTTTAAACAAAAGAAATATACATAATATACCTCTTTTCCGTTTTGAGCTTGAAGCTTCTCCACTAAAGCTAAAATCTTCATGTACATCCATCCATGCACTATCTTCAGGTAAGCAAGGGTCTTCTTTTTCGGTGATCCACTCGTCATCATATTCAATATCCGATAAGCATATTGGATCATAAGCTTCTCCCTTCTCTACTCGAATTTTTTGTCGCGCATCAAGTTGGAGATTGTACTTAACATAGACAAGTGCATTAAGTCTTTGTTGCTCCAAGCGGTTTCTTCTTTTTGTATGCACTTGTTCAAATGTACTCCAATTCCTCTCGCATCCGGTAGCACTACATGTGAGACTTAAAATTCTCATAGCAATCTTTTGCAATTCCTTTACTTCTCCACCATAACTTTCCCACCAAAGAGCTATTAAAATAAAAATTAATCGTTGCTTGTTTCAATGTAGGCCCTTTTTTAGAGAAAAATGGATGTAATCCTCCTCTTTCTTTGCCAACATCCTCGACTATTTCTTCATCCAAAACTTCAAGATTATTTGCCTCATTCTTCGTTTTTTTGCTACTTAACAGTTTAGCAAATATTTCCTTTACTTCATCTGGAACCTTCTCACAAATCGTACACTCATTACGTATCCCGGCAAGATGATGTTTCATTCTTGTAACGCCACCCCAATAATCTTTACCACAATAATTACATCGTAGATGTTTCGTTTCTGAAGGATCAACGACTGCACAATGGTTCCATGCAATATCCTTACTTCCTCTTTTTCTAGGAGCCATTGCAATCCAAAACACCCAAAAGCCAATACAACCACAAAATATATTTTTTTTTGTGAAAAAGTAAGTGCTGAAAATTGCACAAACCCCCCAAAATATGCTGGAAAATGCAAGAACTACCCCAACAATGCTGAAAATTGTACAAGCAAACCCCAATTAATGCTGAAAGTTGCACAAACACCCCAATTAATGCTGAAAGATGCAGAAACACCCCAACCAATGCTGAAAGTTGCAGAAACACCCCTGCCAATGCTGAAAATAGCACAACACCCCCCAACTAATCTGAAATTTCAACCAATCACCACAAATCAACGAGCCCACCTCAAATTGAATATACCCATGACAAAAAACGAACAAACCCAGACCTGAATACCTGATTGAACGAAATTTTGAAGAAATAAGGTTGTAGATCGCAAGCCCGTCCCAATTGTGCAAAACCCAGTCAAAATCGCCCTTGAATTGGTGTTGAATCTCAAACAAAACGCAAGAATGAATAGAAATTAAATATTAGAGTTGAGATATTGTGATGATTGTTGAAGAAATTGAAGAGAAGAGTGAAAATTAGGTTTGGGAATTCTTGGAATATCGTTTTTTTTTTTGGCCGATTGAGTTTCCTTCTTTTTTTTCTTTTTTTTTTTTTTTTTTTTAATTTTTTTATTTGGGTGGATAAATATCGTATATATCGTATCGTATCGTGATACTGCGATACGATACGATATATCGCGATATTTTCCGATATTTATGAATAATCGATACGGAGCCCGAGTTGTATCGTTTTAATAGATACCGTACCGTATCGCGATATATATCGCGATATATCGCGATATTAACTACCATGCTTTACATACACAAAAAGGGGAAATATTGAAGATACCCCCACAAAAGAGTAGAATACTTCTACCCAAAAATAAATATTAATAATTATATCAAAAAGGAGGTGAAAAATTAACACAAACTAATTAATTAATAAATAATTATGATATAATCCAATCCACCTGTAATATATATAATTAGTAAGAAAATAGTAATAATAAAAAATAATATTCAAGGGTTAAAAATGAGATTTCCACATTTACATTTCCAGCTCATGGGCTTGTAGTTGGAATTATCACCACCGCGTCTGGCGTAGGCCATACTATCAACTACCGCCGGAATATTCCTCGACGACGTTGTCCTTTTTCTTTGTGGGTTCGTCGGAACTTGTATGGCTTCGCAGCGGCCGCAGTTGCTGCACCGCCGCTCGCACCGCGGCGGCCTTGAACCTATTTGCGCTCTCAGTATCATCGCCGCCGCCGCTAAGTACTTGTCGTCTTGCTCTCCGTTCACTGCCTACCCCCCCATTCAAAAAATCAAAACAAATCACTTTCAACGTGTTTTAGAGAGAGAGAGAGAGAACACACAGTAACAGTTAAAAGGACAAAAGACCACTCACCTTGGAATTATGATTGTCCACTGTAATTTGTGATATTCTTCTACCTGAAATAATACACCAAGTTTTCAACTTTTATAGTGAATCACCCTCCAAAGATATATATATATATATATATATATATATATATATATATATATATATATATATATATATATATATGTCAACTTACCTTGAGCAGTAGTGAATAATGTGAACTGTGAAGAAGTAGAAAAAATCAAGAAAAGGAGAGCAGAAATGGCAAAATGGTAATTTCGGCCATTTTTAGAGAACCCCATTTTTCTCAGAGGTTATCAGTGATTGAGTGAAGAGTGGTGTGGGGACAGTAGATATTAGGACACATGTTGTCAATCTTTATTATTAGTTATGTAAAGGGCTATTATATTATATTATATTATATTATATTATATTATATTATATTATATTATATTATATTGTATTCTTCTGCTGCTTTTTGGCCTTTGGGTAGAGGAGTTTGAAGTGATGGAACCTACAAGGACAAAACCACTATAATAACAGACAGACAGAGAGAGAGAGAGAGAGAGAGAGAGAGAGAGAGAGCTAAAAAGATAAAGAAACAAAAAAAGAATTGAAAAAAATAAATTTTGAAGTTATATAAATTTGGGTAAATTACTTTATCCTTAGATAAAATTAAACTACGAAAAAAAAATGTTACTTTTGAGTAATTGCAATTGTCCATTATCAGTGAATCTTCTTCTACATCCATGTTTACGGTGTCAAATTCAATATAATTTCCTAGATTTCGTGAAATATTCCCTAGTTTGTACACGTGTTGGCGTAAAAATGCAGTTTCTGATGCACCACAATCTCATATTTACAAGTCAAGAGGCACATTTTATGATCGTTTTGTTTTACAATGTGAAGCTCGAAAGGGGTAAAAATGGTACAAACAGGAGAATGTTCCACATAATGTAGGAAATTTCACAAAATTTGACACCACAAAAGTAGAAATGTAAAAAGATTCATAAATGAAGGGATGGTTGTAATCAACTAGAATGAGGGTTTTTTTTTTGAAATTTAACCTTATATCAGTGGCGTGGCCGTAGTTTACTCTATAAATAAATAAGAACCTCGTGGAGTGCGCCCTTCTGGAACAAGTAAAATATGCAAGAATGGGATATATGTAATAATAATGGAAGAAAGAGAGAAAAGTAAAAGATGGGATATTGTGTGTAGGCAGAAAAAATGAAAGAGTTAGTGAAGAGAGAGAGAAAAGGGAAATGGAATGTATTTAAGATAGAAATAAGACAAGAGGCTAAGACAGCAAAATGCCACAGTGAAATATAATGTACCTTTAAATTAAAAAAAAAAAAAAAACGAAAACAATTCACTGTGCATTCTTAAATTACAAAAATGCCACTCTTTAATTTTAATATTCTTGGCAAAGTGTCCCTAATTAATGCCAATTTCCGACTGATAATATGGTCGGTGATCCGTCTGAAAACCACCTCTTGGAGTCTAGTAGAGCAGTTTGTGAATCTGGAACTTAGTCTCTATCGCGCTCAGTTTATCCTGCACCAGAATAAACCGGACTGACATTAGAGTTAGCACTCCGACGGTCAAGTTAGTGATTTGAAGTGGTTTTAGGTGGAATAATGTAAATTAAGAGTTCTTCTGCCTTTTACTTGGTACATGTGAGCTGGTATTTATAATGTTCTAACCTAAACTTTGTGTGAAACCCAGGCGTGTAGGCGCGACGACTGCTTTCCCCCCTTTGCCGGACGGCGTTAAACATTATTTTCCTTGGGATGGCTATAACAGCCCCTCTCCGGGTTTTGAGTAGTCTGACTTGGGAGCTTTTTATCAATGACGGTCTTTAGTCATTCGAACATTAAATGCCGGTGTTAGGGTATTTAATGCGCCGGTGCAAGCATAAAGAATGATTGTCAGTCGTCATTGATGCGGTGCCTTTTGTCGCCACTAAAAGCCCCCTGGTGGGACCCTCGCGCCCCTTTTACCCGAGCGAGTGATCGGCCTTACACTTTGGGTATTAGTCTCCTCTATAGCTTAGTGTGCGCGAGGAGCATTTGGGCCTTGATCTTCTCCCCGTTGAGCCTACTTGGAAAAGCTTATATAGTATATTATTTTAACTTGGGCCGGATGAGGCCCTGCTATTTTGGGCATGGATTCCTTCCGGATCAGTCGGTAAATTGATTTGTAAAAAATGTTATATGTGAATATTAAAGATTATTATTTATTACTAGTCCATAAATAAATTAACATTGGATCTTCTTGTCAAATATGACAAAACTTTTTGTTTCATTTTCCTTTTTTTTTAAAATAAACTAGGGCAAATTACGGCCACCTCTATAAGATAAGGTAAAATTATAAAAAGAAATATCGTTTAGGTAATTACAACCACCTTCAATTATTTATTGTCTTACACGTCTACCCTCACTGTGTCAATTTTACCTACTGAAATAGGAGATTTTTGTAAGACAATACAAAATTGATGGGCGGTTGTAATTACCCAAACATGAGGAGTTTTTTCATAATTTAACCTTACATCGGGGGATTAGCCGTAATTTGCAAATAAATTATTTAGATTTATACCTACGGGCCAAACAAAATGTGGCCCTTTAATTTTTCAATACGGGCCCAATAGAAACCCACAGAGAATAAAATATGGGCCAAGCAATCCAAAAGAAATTCAAAGGAATATCCAGCCCAGCATTTTGTCAGCTTCTATCTCAATAAATTGGGCCCTTTCCAAAGAAATAAATATATTTTTCCAATATAATATAATATAGCCGAAGATTTAGTATGTTGTTTTATTTTTCATTTTTTATTTTATTTATTTATTATTTTTTTTTTATTATTTTTATTATTTTTTTATTATTATTATTTTTTTTTTGTTTTGAAAACAAATATGTAGATGACCGACAGTGGTTAGGGCTTCTGGATAAAGATTTGGTGTCGGTTTACAGTTTATAACTAGATATTTCAGCAACTATGTGATTATTTTATGATTATATATTTGTATTCATGCTTTGGTTATTTTTATAGTTTTTACTCCATCTGTTCCATAATAACTGTCTCTTTTTTAAAATATTTTTGTTTCGTATTATCTGTCACTTTATATTTTCAATACTGCATTAAATGCATTTTTACTGTTTTAATCTTATTAATGCATCTCTAAACATTAATTCTCTTTTATAAATCATTAAATAATAAAGGTTGTTTTAGTCATTTTTATGTGATTTTCCTAAAATCAAGCTACATTAATTGAATTTCTTAATCTTTATGAAAAGTGAAAAACGACACTTATTTAGGAAAGGATGGAGTATATGTTAAATAATTAATATTTCATGATGAATATTAAGATATTTTGTAAACAATTTAGTTACTATATATACACTCTTGCCCTTTCATGTTAGCAATATAATTAGTGTTTTATTCTTACTTAAATTACCAGATTATGTGATTGCTATTCTCCCAATTTATTCTTTTCTTTTTTTTTTCCGCAAAAAAAAAAAAAATATTGATTCTTATAAAAATTGAAATAAAATGAAATTAGGGGAGCATGCGCGAAAAAGGAAAACAAAATATATATGGACCAGACAAAAGACAGTGATTGGTCCTACAAATGATCCAATGTTGGACTTAAATTATGATGACGTGCCTCTTAAGAATTGCTGCAACTATAAATTAATAATTAAATATAAAATAAACAAAAAAGAAAAAATGCTCTATTAAATTACACTTAGACCCCTGAGGTATGCTAAAATAACTTTAAGGTCCCTATAGTATCAGTAAGTACAATTACACCTAAAACATTGTTCGAAACCCTAACAGAATACTGCATTGGGTAATTTATTCCGTTAGCGTTCTAACTGACTATTAGCTTCAGGTAATGGTGGAGGCAAGATATAGCTAGGATGTGACACGATTCTCCTAACATTTTTCTAAATCCTTATTACTTTATATAAAATTTATAATTTTTTGTCCATGTAGCATATCGACAAATATAGTTTATATCGATCCCCAGAATATGAAATCTTGTCTCCGATAATTATTTCAGAGGTGTAATTGGAATTACTAATACTATATAAATTTTAAAGTTATTTTTGCATACCTCAAAAGTGTAGTCGTAATTAACACTAATAATTAATATTTGAAGGTGATATATAATTGGTTTGGTAGAAACATAGAGAAGATGTGTTATGGTGTGAAAAGGGGAACATGGTAACCATCACGTGGACGTGACCCACCGGTTCCCTAAATATTAGGGCGTCTCACAAGTCACGCCCATCACCATTTTCTTTTTATTTATTTATTATTATTATTTTTTTTATAAATAAAATGAAACGAAATTTCTCAATTCATTTCTTAATCTACACGCCTCTTTCCATTCCATTATGCATGTATTCACTCTTTTAGGCAAGGTTTGAAAATCATTTTCTTTTTTGTGTGGATAAATTTCTACAAAAATGAAAGCAATGTTTAGTTTTATTACTTGTACAAAATTTGTTTTTATTTTAGTGATGTTTTTAATAAGGGTAAATTGCGGTCACGGTCACCTATGAAGTGATGTCAAATTACGAAAAAAAACAAACTCTATATATTTGGGTAATTACAAGCATCCCCTTAATTAAAGATTTTCTTATACATCCACCCTTATGGTGTTATATTCAGCAGAATCTTCTAGGTTCCGTAAAATTTCTCTTGTTTTGTACTTGTTTTATGCAAAAAGGCAGTTTTTTATGCACAACAATCTGATGTTTACAAGTCAAGAGACACATTTTATGATCATCTTGTTTTAAAATGTGGAGCTCGAATGGGGTAAAACAGGTACAAAGTGTAGAATATTCCAAATAATTTAGAAGATTCCACTAAATTTAACACAACAATGATGAACATGTAAGAAAATTCATAATTGAGTAAAATATTTGCAATTACCGAAAGATAAGAGAGTTTTTTGTAATTTGACGAGTGAGAAAGATTTCAATGCATCTACTTATACTTGTTCGTGCATACGTGTATACATGGTCACACAATAATTAATCATCGACCAATAATTGAGACAATTCCAGAAAAGGGTACACGTACAAAGAATCATCATAAAAAATAATAATTCATTAACTATATATGTATATATAAAATAATTAGTGATTTACATCCATTTGACACACACCAAAAACAAAATAATTAATAATAAAAGTAAAATACTTATCTAATTATTTCTACAGATTAGCTTCACTTCTTTTACCACAGGCTCTTAACCGAATAAAAAAACAGGGTTGTGCCATGTTTCTTCCTATGTATTTACTGCAATAATATATATAAATATAAAAATATATTATCTAAAAAAAGAAATGGTAATTAATTATTTAATTAATTAATTAACAAGCGGCAGATGGATTATAGAAGTGCGGCTTTGTTGCTACGGCAAAGGGAACGATGTTCTTATTAGCCGTTTTATCAGATACGCCGCCGCCGCCGATCTTCTCACAGGATGGGCACACGGTGAGGGTGGCCGCCGGAAACTGCATGTACAGCGGCGGCGGCGGCGATTTCAGTGACTTGAGTTCATGCAGCTCCTTCTGCAGCCGCCGGTTCTCGTCGGTGAGCGTTTCGCAGCACTTCTTCAAAAACTCGCAGTCTACCTCCGTTTGCTTCAGCTTCGTCCTGTAATTAATTTAAAAAGTAAAAAAAAAACAAAATTAAAAAACAAAATAAAAATAATTATAAAATTTAAAATAATATTAAATAAAATATAAGATGACCTTGCTCGTCTGTTCTGGAACCAAACTTCAACCTGACGTGGCCTCAGCTTCAGATCTTGTGCCAGTTCATGTTTTTGTTTCTGATCCATTAATTAATAATATTTATATATATATATTTTAGAGAGAGAAAGATACAAAAGAGGAGAGAGAGAGAGAGAATTGGAGGAGAGAGAAACTAACAGGATTGAGAGTGCTGTGGAGCAAGAAGCTTTCTTCCAGAAGTGCCGACTGAGCTTTAGTTAGCCTGAGTTTCTTTCTAATTCCATTAACCGATCCATTATTATTTTCGTCGTCTTCTTCAATCTCCCTCTCCCTCTTCACGCTACCGTTGGAGAAAGACGAGGCGGCGCCGCCGCTGTCATGCCCGTGCAGCTTATTATCGTCGTCGTCAAAAGTAGTGTCGCCGGCGAGGCTAAGAGTGAGTGTGGGCTGATCGGAGATATTGCACGAGCGGTCAAGATTAATACTCCCGCGGCCGGGTGCCGCCGCCGCAGGGTTTCTTGATTTGTCTTCTCCGGTTGAATACGTCGGCGGCGACGACGGAAGTCCCAACCCTAGAACCAGACACGTGTGGCGTAAATCTTCGAAACCCATTTGTGTATGTATCTCTGGTAAATTAAAGCTGGTGGCTTGAAATTAGTTTTTGGGAGTTTTGTAGAGAGAGAAAGAACAAACAAATTTCTGGAGAGAGAAACAAAAGAAAAAGTTATCTTTTTCTGTAATGTGATGAGAAATGACGAGGGGGGGTTTTTGTAAGTGAGAAAAATCACTCTCTCTCTCTCTCTCTCACACACACAGTCGTAGTGCTCCTGTGCCTATCTCTCTCACACAGTTACACACATTGGTTGACTATTTGAATTAAATCCAATTATGATCATGACCAACGACGAGGAAACCAAAAGAAGCCGCCCCCCTCTACCACCCCCCACCCCCACAAATAATATTTATTACAAATTGAGATGTCAAGAATCAATGTAAAGAATGATGACGTGGATTCACATGGTAATGGGGTACACACATGAAGAAGATGATGCGATTGCCCCCCTCTCTCGCCACCCATTAACATGCTTAATTACCGAGTCCTTTTCACTATTTTTCATTTTTCTCCTACAAAGAAGGATAAATTGCACTTCACCCCCTATGAATTCTCAACTTTTGCAATCCCCACTTCAAAAAGAGAGAAAAAGGTGAGTGCGCCCCTTCGAAAAATTTATTTTTGTTGCACGTTGTAGTTACCTCGATACTCAAATTTCGATGTGTTATTCACCATAATGAGTGTTTAATTGCGTGTGTGCCCCTTTAAATTGTTATTTTTATTGCATGTTACTTCTTCAAAATATTATTTCGTTGCATGTTGTCCTCGCAAAAAATTGGGTTTCAGGGCAGTGCAACCATAACAACATTTTGGAGAGGAAAAGTGTGAATCGTGAAAATTTGTCGAGGACGAAGGCCAAAATGCATTTTGTCCTACGAAGAAATAAGTATCCACCGTCAATGTGCATTGAATAAATTTAATATCACGCAAAGTATATAAATTCAAATCAATTAGGCCAACCTTATACATCTTTTTTGATTTTATTCTTGGGGGTGTTTGGCTTTTCACCATTTGTCTATTTTACGTGCCTATTTGCAACAATAATTGGGGCCAATTTGTGACAAATTTGGTATAGTACATTTTTGCTCAACACTTTACCATTTCAAGTATTATGGTTAATTGTGCTATTTTTAAAGGAACTTTAGATTTGAGATAGTATGAGGCTCGAATGATTTGAAAATAAGCAATATACATATATAATAAAATTTGAATGAACTTTTAATTTTAAACTTTTTTTAGAATGATCCATTGATTTTTGCTTCTGGAGAAATTTGCAACAAAAATAATATTTTGAAGGTGGACAATCATTTTTTTTTTAAATTTGAAGGGTTAAAGTGAGAAAATTAGAAATTTTTAGGGGGTGACGTGGAATTGGCCCCAATAGTAAATGTGTTAATGATCATCCCTCTCCCTTTAAGGATATCTTTTTTTGGTTGAGTTCCATCTAAAGACGTTTCTCATGGGTACTAAGTATAATTAATTAATACAAGGTTTACATTTGCGACTAATTGTCCTTAATTAATACTACAAAATCTTAAAGCACACTAATAATTATTAATTAGTGATGTTTGCAAACGTTTTAAGTGATAATATAGCCCAATGATGAAGCATGATTAATTAATTGCTGCACGAATTTTGTATTTATTCATTCAATCAATTCATTTAGATCCGTCCAATCTACACCGTGGCCTACACCCTTTTATCACTAGAATAATTAGTGTATATCAATCTTTCTTTTTTTTTTTAAATATATTTTGTTTAATAAATAAATCCGAAGCCTAACCATATATCTGCACTGGATAAACTTACGCTCTCGTATAATAGCTTGCAAATTATACGAGAGACGTAAACCACACTAGACTAACCATGTGCAACAAACTCGACCGTTGGCAAGAAAATTCGAATTTTGGTCAATTGGCACAAACTGACTGGCACCAACCGTTAGGTCATCCCTTGCGGAACACTAATATATCAATCTTCAAGATATATATATATATATATATATATATATATATATATATATATATATATATATATATATATATATATATATATATACATTTCAAGAAAAAAGTTGTTTCATGGGATGCACACAACATAGTTGTTTTAAAGCAGACCACATGACATGTCTGTTAACACCATGTTTGGATTAGTTCATTAGAAATACGGATCTCATATTACTTTGCTGGCTTAACTTTTTTATTTTTTTATTTTTTTTTATTTTTTTTATCCAATATAATCAAAGGAATGTGGATATATACGGAAGAGGATAGATTAATTAATCCATCGTTTTTGTTGTGTGGGGAAAGAGAAGAAAAAGTTTGAAAAAGTAAGGCCAAACACACCACGAGGATATAATGTAGATTGAAATGGAAGATATATACTTATACATAGTGGTAATAGATACACGAATCAAGATCTTTGCTTAAGTAGAAAGTTGGCGATAGGGTGTGTTTGGCCCTACTTATCTATATTCTTTTGCAAACAGAATTCAATAATTGATTGTCGGCTACACACCAGTGAATAAGTTAGGTTACCAATTAACCATGGTTCATAATTTATAAATATCCAAGGTATAATTTATAGGAGAAATATATTTGGAGAAAAGAGAGAATGATATCTCTTACGTATATTACTCATATATATAGTTACATGTAGGAAACCCTAACCTACTACACAAGGTAACCTAATATACAAGGAAACCTAATACACAAGGTAACCTAATAAATAAGAATAATAATAGGTATACGTAATATATATAATAAAGATACGTAATATATATAAAGATACGCTAATACACCCCCGCAGTCGAAACGGGAAAGGAGAGGACGTGGAGACTGGAGACAAACTGTTGGAACAGTTGAGTAGGGAGTCCTTTCGTGAAGATATCGGCAAACTGGTAGGCGGATGGGACATGAAGGACTCGAACGTGCCCCAAAGCAACTTTGTCTCGGACAAAATGGATATCGATCTCCACATGTTTCGTACGAGAGTGTTGAATAGGATTGCTCGATAGGTAGACGGCACTGACGTTGTCACAATAGACAATCGTGGCTTTCGAAAGTGGGCAGAGCAACTCAGAAAGTAGGTTGCGTAACCAAGTCGTTTCGGCGACGGCATTTGCGACAGCTCGGTATTCGGCCTCCGCACTCGATCGAGAGGTAGTGACCTGTCGTTTGGATGACCAAGAAATGAGGTTGTTGCCGAGGAAAACACAATATCCCGATGTCGAACGACGAGTGTCAGGGCATCCACCCCAATCGGCGTCGGAGTAAGCGATAAGGGAGAGGTCCGGATTGGGGGAGAGCTGAAGGCCGTGATCGAGAGTCCCACGAATGTAGCGAATAATACGCTTAAGAGCAGCCATATGAGGTTCCCTCGGATCATGCATGAATAGACATATTTGTTGCACAGCATAGCAGATGTCAGGACGAGTAAACGTGAGGTATTGCAGTGCACCGGCAAGGCTGCGATAAAGAGTAGGGTCAGCAACGGGGGGTCCAGTGGTCGAGGACAACTTGCTCTTTGTGTCAGCCGGCGTAAGACAAGGGTTGCATGAAGCCATGTGTGCACGCTCTAGGATCTCGTCGGCGTACTTGCGTTGAGAGAGAAATAGCCCATTCGACGAGCGAGTGACTGAGATGCCGAGAAAGTAGTGAAGATCGCCAAGATCCTTCATTGCGAACTCTTGATTAAGTGCAACGATGATGGAGCGGAGCAATTCAGGTGTGGAGGCCGTAAGTACAATGTCATCGACATACAACAGAAGGTAGGCGCATGAACTGTTGCGACAGTCGCGTGAACTGCTGCGACAGTCGCGTGAACTGTTGCGACAGTACACAAAGAGTGAAGTGTCGGACTTGCATTCTCTGAACCCCATGGTAGTAATGTGAGATGCAAAACGCTTGTACCAAGCACGTGGTGCCTGCTTGAGACCGTAGAGTGCTTTGTTGAGACGACACACGTGAGTGGGGCGAGATGGATCGACGAATCCGGGAGGTTGCTCGCAGTAGACAGTTTCAGAGAGATTGCCATGTAGGAAGGCATTTTTCACGTCAAGCTGGTGGATTGGCCATGATCGCGAGAGAGCAATACTGAGAACTGTTCGAACAGTGGCTGGTTTGACAACTGGGCTGAAAGTCTCGTCAAAGTCGATGCCAGCCTGCTGGTGAAACCCACGAACAACCCACCGTGCTTTGTATCGCTCGAGGGAGCCATCAGACTTGAGTTTCTGTTTATATATCCACTTACCAGAAATAACATTAGTAGACGGGAGGCGGGGCACAACATTCCAAGTATTGTTTTTAATTAAAGCAGTATATTCCTCAATCATGGCGTTTCGCCAGTTTTGGTCAAGAAGAGCTTGGCGATAGTTGGTGGGAATGGGAGATGTAGAGGATGCAACGAGTGAGAAAGGGACTTTGGGTTTGTGGATGCCCGCTTTACTGCGAGTCACCATAGGATGAGCAAGGGGAGGTGGGGGGGGTGGGGGAGTAGTAGAAGGGGTTGTGAGCTGGTTGTGGTCGACAGGTGGTGCTGCAGGAGAAATAGGTGTTGGCTGTGTTATGGGACTGTTGGACGGACTGTTGGAACAGTTGGAGGAACTGTTGCAACAGTTAGACGAAGTCTGAGGGAGGAGGAACAAGGATGGTGTGTTTTCGTCCAAGGCAGAAGGGGGAAGTGTGTTTTTGGGGGGAGTGGACTCAGCAAAAGAAAAGTTAGTTTCGTCGAAGATAACATGACGAGAAATTATGATTCGGCCAGTGGACCTATCAAGGCAACGATAGCCTTTGTGAGAGGAAGGGTGACCGAGATAGACACAAGGAGTAGAACGGGGGGCGAGTTTATGTGGTGTGGTGGCGGTGAGGTTGGGATAACAGAGACAGCCGAATACTCGAAGATGAGAGTATGTAGGTTTGATGAGGTAAAGGGCTTCGTGAGGAGTCCGGTTTTGTGTGGTTTTGGTAGGTAAGATATTGAGTAGGTGTGTGGCCATATGAAGGGCTTCGACCCAATAAGTAGGAGGAAGATGGGCTTGAAAGATGAGGGATCGAATCATGTTAGTTATAGTGCGGATCATCCGTTCTGCGTGTCCGTTTTGAGGGGAGGTGTGGGGACACGAAAAACGATTTAGGATGCCGTGTTTAGTGAAGTAGTTTTGAAAATCCGCATTTTTGAATTCACGACCATTATCACTTTGTAAGGCTTTCAGGGGATGTTGGAATTGAGTTTTGAGAAGTGTATGAAAATTGACAAAGGTTGTAAAAACATCAGATTTATTTCGAAGGGGAAAAGTCCATATATAATGGGTAAAA